AAGATTATGTAACCTAAATCTAATGTTTATATAGTGTCTGTAAAATTTCCTCAGATATTTAGATCTAGTGCTTCAGTCTGACAACCTGACTTAGATCCTGTTATGTTACTTCTGACCCTTGGGTTATTTAGCATAAATCTGAATATTGCCTGACGCTCCTGAGATTTCCAATCTCCATGACAGCGCAAAAATCCAGTCGGCTTGGAAAGAGACCTTTTCCCTGATGGAAGCTCTGGTTTGTCTACAGCCTCAAGCTGTTGCTACATCTGCTGGGGGCGACACATTTGATAAAGTAGTTACATGACCTATTGGATCTCTATTCTTTATATCTCTATTTGTACTAATAACATTCTTTTGTATTTGTTTTTTGCCTTTATTTCACTTAGTGCTGTAGTTAATGTGACAGATATGTAACGTGTCCTCTTGGCGTTCAGACCATGGAGGAGGTTGTTGTCAACATTGTCGAAATGCTCCAAAAGTCTTTCACTATTTCAGAGGTGACAGAAATGTATCTAGCTGTGAATGAATCCCAGTTTTCACTTTTAGGTAAGATTTGCAAACCGTAGCAAGACTTTTTTGTCCACAGAAGCAACATTTTTGGCTTAATGTGAACGAAGCAACTTCTAAACACATTTGCTACATTACACAGGGGAAATCCCTAATACATTCAAGATGGACCCCGAAAAAACAACAATGAATAGCCACTGCACTGACAAGTAGCAAACTGCCACTGCAACCTGTTTTAAATTGATTAACCTGATTTTTATCTTATTGAGCTAAGCCCTGCTTCAATTTTTCTTTCCAACTTTCTCCCTGGCCTGCCTGCTGTGTTCTGTGGTCTCCATAATGTTGTTTGTTCTCTACAGTTTTCTAACAACCCACTGAGGCCTTCACATGACAACTGGATTTCGCCAAAGCTTAGTTGTCCACAGATGGACTCTATGGGTTGTATATTGAAACATATTTAATTGAGGGATGTTAAGGGGGATTAACTGTAAATACACACCACACGTTTCAGATTTTTATTTGTACATTCTTTGTTTAAGCCAGGTGTCACTGTCATTCTGCTTTATAATTTGCACCACTTTCCTTTAAAACTATGTATGATAAAATGTGAGAAAGTTAATGGAGTCTGAATACATTTTTAGAGTGCTTTATAATTCAATATGCGGCATTTCTTCATCCAACACTTAAAGCTGCTTTTCATCTTGGTCTGTTGATTCTTATTAATACTGCTGCATTACTTAAATTTTCTTAAAGGTAAAGTGGAAGATGTTATTGTTCTGGGTGAATCATCAAAATAAGTGATCATTCTAATTGTCAATCATTCTGGTGATATGTTTACCTAAAACTGTCCTATGTGCTCGTCCCCATTTTCACTTACTGGTGGTGAGAAATCCTCCACTATACCTTTAAGCTTTGCTTATTTTTGTGAAATATAACTTTATTCATAGATTGACTGAAAATGAAAGGGAAGATTCAGGCTTACTGGAGTCGTTTCTTTATGAATACATTTCTATTAAAATATAATTTCCAAATCTTTTAAATGTTGAACTTGTCTTTTTTATTTTTTAGAATTTTTGACAAGCTGAGTGCTAACCTTTCTGCTTGTAAATGACCTGGTGATGGATTGCCTTTTTTAGAATCGCTCAACTCTTAGTGGATGCACAGAGCTATCCACTTCCACAGCACGGCTGTGCTTTCTCCCTGCAGTCCTACCTGCCTCTGCAGCCTCTGGGGTCTCAGGTTTTGGACCTTCTTCAGAGGATCAGCTCCCTCCAGGGATGGATTTCCAAAGGAATTCCAGCTGTTTTCAGGATCAGCTGATTCTTATGTCTACAAGCCTTCCTCGTTCTGCCTTCTTCTCAGGATGATGCTCGTCGCTTTGGCACAGCTACTGAAACATTAAGATCATCTCCCCTATTTTTGATGCACTAAATTAAAATGTCTTCATCTAAAATCTCCATGATTGAAGATTTTGCTTTGATTCAACACCCCCTTAGGTTTGGAGTTTTTCTGAAATATAAGCAGTGTTCATATGCAGGTTCGGAAAGTCTGGAATCTGATTTCAAATTTTGACATCCCCTCATTCCTTATTATCTTCCTTAATGTCCTCTCTTCCTTGTGTCCTTTTTTCTGTCCATCCATTTCTTCCCCTCATTGTGTCATATCTTTAAACCTTTATTTGTGTCCTTCTTTAGCTGTTTCTGTCCCTCCTTCCTTGCATCCATACTTGTTCCTTTTTGTATCTTTCTACCCTGTAGTTTAATATCTTCAATCCTTCATTTTGTTTTTTTCCTCACCACCTTTTGTCCTGTCTTTTTCCTTTTTTTTTTGCTTCCTTACTGTTTTCACTCCTTCTTTGGTCAAATCATTCTTGTGGACACCATTACCCTTCTCCACCTTTGTTTTGTCCTGTCTGTATTCCTTTTCCTTAACTCATTGGGTCCTTCCTTTACTTAATTTTTTCATGCTGTTTATTCCTTGTCCCTCTCTTTATTTCTTCTGTTCTTCCTTCCATCTTTCCTTTCTTCAGTATAATCTACCAAATGCAGAAACATGGTCAACAAAATTTACAAAAAGATAAAATATAAAAAAAAAAATTTAAATGAATCTCAAGAACTGAGAACCTGTTAATTTATCATACCTTCTTCAATTAATCCACCACTAGGTGCATGTGAAACCAGTATCAGAGGTAACAGCAATACCACAAGCTGCTACATCCATGGTCTATTTCTGGAGGAGGTTTGTTAGCGTATAGTCGGCTAACATAAACCAAGTCTAAGGAGGTTCACCCACATGTGGCTGTCATCCAATTAATCCCCAAAAGCCAAACTGCAAACATTCCCTTTCCACGGTCTCTCCCATCCACAGGACCCTCAGTTGAGCTGGGCAGTACATATGGAGAGAAAAAAAGTAATCCCAGAAAAAAGATTTTGATAATAAAATTATAAACAATTATAAAGCTTGAATACAAGCACAGTCAATGCTAAACCCAGGATTTAAACTCTGTCACCTAATGTTGTCCCCAGCAGCTGAGGATATTACTCAAATGTTTGTGTGCACCTCCTTCTAGTGGTTTTATTACTCATCCAAAATAGACTCCAGTTGGTTTCGAGTTTCATGAAGCCTCTAAAAGTGCAGCTCTGCATTTTCCACCCACAGCACGAATCCCACACCTTTTGCTATCTCATTAATTTATTCAGAGCCTAAATATTTTAACATTTAAAATACATTTTTTTGCCCTACTGGAAAAAAAGTACTACCAGGTACTTTGTGCATCTGACAAATAAACTTGAACTCTTAGCACCTCTATAGCACAGACAGGACAAATAAGGTATGATTTATGTCTTCCTAAACTGTGGAATGACCTGCCTCTATACACCAGACAGACTCCCACTGTAGGCGTTTAAATTCTCATCTAAAAAACGCAGCTTTACTCATCTGCTGTGGAATCATCATGTTTATTTTATTCCTTTATCCTTTGCTGCCACCTCTGTACTCTCTGTACTGCATAACACTAATATAATAGATCATCTTTGAATGTAATTTATGGAAGATTGTTAAACTAAGGGGCGGTTCATCCTGTTTAAAAAATAACTTCCTTTTTTGAGCTGAAACATTACTTTCAGTTGTTTATACCTGGAAAACTAGGTAAGTGTTAAATACAGGGACGATTAACTCAGAAAACCAATGTAGTTGTTATCCTTAACTTTAGTTAGTTCAGCTTACTTTCATGTTTTTGCTGTGAAATGCGGGAAAGCAGGGTTGGCTTATGAGTTAGAGATTCAAAGTTCTTTTAATGTTTAATTTTAATAAAATAAAATGAAGCTAAAGATATGCTGTTAATCTAAACCAATCTAATCAGGAACTGTGCATCAGCTGTGCTGCTTCCATCAACACCCTTGTTTATAGATGTTGGAGACCTGCCTGTTTTCCAGTGTGGTCCTGTTTCTCTGACCGAGACTGAGTGGATGTGCTCTCTTCGTCCTCTGGCATGGGAGCTGGCTCGGAGCTTGTCTGCCTGGCTGTGTGTTTCCTGGACGGGGCCGCCTTTTACAGCTGCTTTTTGTGTCTCTGCTTCTGTCTCCTTGAACCCCAGTCGGCCTCGGCAGATGGCCGCTCACACTGAGCCTGGTTCTGCTGGAGGTTTCTTCCTGTTAAAAGGGAGTTTTTCCTCTCCACTGTCGCTACAAGCATGCTTAGTGTGAGGGATTGTATTTGAGTCAATGAGTCAATGCAATCAACTGGTTTTCCTTAGATAGAAAACTTTCTATCAATTTGACTGTATGATCTGGTTGAACTGTAAAGTGCCTTGAGGTGACATGTGTTGTGAATTTGGCGCTATATAAATAAACTGAATTGAATTGAATTGAACTATATGGAGTGGCCCAGATGTCGAGCACAGTATTTGGTACTTGCAGCAATCATTAAAGTTGAAGGTTAAAGACTCCTGTATTTATGTCTCTAAAAACAAAAAGGGGTTTTGTAAAAATGTCTTTTTTTTTATTTATTCTAAATAAAATGTAGGCATATTATTTTTAAGTAAGGGAGTTTAGAGATTTGTAGGGAAACCAAACTTCAAAATTTGCTAGTTTGTTTGCTAAACATTTTCAGTGCCACCTTTTTTTTTTTTTTTTTACAGTGTATATAAATGCAAAGCATATGTTTTAGATTTTAGATCCAACATATATCATCATAAGATCCTATTCACACAGTGTGCTGTGTTATAAAATACCTATAAAATATAGTTGTGCTTGAAATTTTGCAAGACAGAGTAGATGGAGCTGAAAACACCATTGATAACTCTGATCTTTTTAATGGAAATAACATCTTTGAAGTAAGCTTTGGCGTTTTTTATTTTTGCCTGGAGGTTTAATCATCAATTCTCTCTGCAGGTCGAGTTAAGTGCTTATTTCCGTCTCGGTCCTTTGAGACTGTCTCATAGGTCAATGGAGAAACGCGACTTGACAGAAGGAGGGTGGCGCTTAAACAAACGGTGACAGTGACTGGCCATGTGAATGTAACTAGAGCTCAAGACCAACGGGAAATAGATCAGCAGGGTCAACAGATGATACGTCTTCACAGAGATCTGATTGGACTTTAATAGTCGCTTTTATTTCGGATATATCAGATTAACCGGCGAGGGAACAGTTCTGACCGGAACAGCCTGTGGCGCATAAAAACAAAACAGGCGCGTAGTTTAAGGAAACATTCAAAACCATTCTAAGACTAAATTATAAATGAGATCGACTTTTATAAAAAGAAGACAGCGTGGATTATAGTGGAGACTTCCCTGAGGATTAGTTATCCAGGATAAGCAGATGTGTGATTAGTGGTTAGGGTCCGGATCTCTCAGCTTTTACGCGTGAGCGATCAAGGAACTTTGGTGATTTTTCTTCTCAGACTCGCTTCAATCCGGTGTGATCATGCTTCAAAATGGTAACGGGAAGGAAAAACCGCCTCAGCCAACAAACACAGGTGGATCTGAAGCAGATCCTTCTTGTGACAAACCGAAGCAGCAGACTGGGGACCCAGCCGAGGACAGGAGGGCCACGGACCCCGGGGCCACGCACTTCCCCCTGCCTGCTTATCCCAAACTGGAAATAAAGCGCAACGCAGTGACTGATGACTACAAGATTTCCACTCAGGTTCTGGGTTTGGGGATCAACGGCAAAGTTCTGCAGTGCTTCAATAAGAAGACAGGAGAGAAGTGCGCTCTGAAGGTAGCAAAGTCATTTGGTTTATTATAGAAACTTGAGGAACAGGTTGGTTTAAACATATGCTGATGAAGATTCTCAGTCATCCAGGTCGGAATGTTGGTTTGAACTAATCAATTATGTAATAAGGACATTTTTAAGATTCTGTCCAGCAGATCTTATCGCTATTCCTGATTGAAATCCATCTTGTTATCTATTTTATTTTGTAATTTAAGGTATATTTGGTCTTCAAATTAGAGTTTTGAAAAGCTGCCCTTTATAACTAAGGCTCTGTTACATGGAAACGTGTAACAACAGGATTTCCTAAAGTGTAACAGCACTGGGAAAACATTTTTTAAATCTAGATAAGTCATTTTTTCTTAAATTAAGTGCATTTGTTTTTGGAATGAGGAGGTAAAAGAGACATTTTGCCAATGGAACAAGACAATTTACACTTAAAAAAAGAAAACACAACTACACTGTCTTATTTCAAGTGCATATTATCTAATTATCTTAATTCAAGAGTAAAATACTAATTCCATTTGCAAACTACCTACTCAAAGTAAGGATACATACACTTAATTTAAGAAATTTTTAATTATTTTAAGATTGTTTTTCACGTGAGCAGTATTTTCCAATACTAGCATCTTATATGGGGATATTTTATCAGAAATCTTTTTAAAACTTACCTATGATCTTTGTTAATATGTCTGTAAAACAAGAAACCTGTTAAAATATCAAGAAGTTTGGCATATCCTACTGGTGTGAAAACTGTGGTGTTTTTTAATGGTTGGGATTCCTAGATAAAATATGATGCAATCACCTGAATTCAAATCCCCCTCAGCTGGTAGACAGAGTCTCCCTGTCTGTTATTATGGTAAAAGAACAACCGCGGTTATGGAGACCACATAGTTTTTTAGAGAACATAGCAGGGCATCATCATGACCAAACCAGACAGGACAATGATAAGATAACTGAGATGTTTAGTCCATCATCTGAGCATAGAAAGACTTTGACTCAACTGTAAACCTACTCCAGCTTTTTGAGTGACTTGGTTTCAAATGTGGTTTTACCTGCAAGTACCGGGAACTAAACCATTAATAAAACAGCTGTATGTATGTATGTTAAAGGTCCTTCTTAGATATTTCTTGAAAATGTAAAGAAATAGGGCTTTAAGTCTGAGTTTTCTGTCTAGACTGTATATATCATCAAACACATAGTAAAACTTTCACTGTGATAGAAGTGTCCGATATCTGCAGATAAAAGGAACATCTTGGTTTTGCTTAAATAAAGTACTTTTTAAAGGGGGAAAAAATTTGGCAAATTCATATTTAGAGACAATAAGCTGGAAAGCTACAGGTGACTTGTTTTCTGCTGGTATGTTAATCGTTTAAAGGGTTAGCTATATCATTGCCACAATAAATAAAGACTTTTAAGACTTTCACGTGAGGATGAATGTGAAAATATTTTCTCAGTGCATCTATCTTAAACAGATGTAGATAAGATCCAGCTGTAGATGAACAGTAATAGCTAAACATGCAGCTGCAGTAGACAGAGAACTTGATGTGCTCAACACAAACAGCGATATAACTCAGTTAATAGATTTATAAAGAAGAAGAGCTTCCAAAACATTTGTAAATATTTACAGGCAACTTAAACTAGGCTAAAAAATTAGACCATCATCACAAAACAACAGCTGATCTGTACCCTGCACTACATCCATAGCAGTAAGCTGACTAGGAGGGGAACCTACCCTCCAGAGCAGATCTGCTTCATACCAGCATTAAACTCAGGTCCAACATGTTACAATTAATATTAGTTGGAGACTGCTAAGTTAAAGGGAAATAAACTATTAGAAATGCATTTGAAGTTTTGTTATCATAATCACACTGAGATTGTGAGGAACAAACTTAGATAAAAAGCCGGAAGGTGAAAAGGACAGGAAAAAAAAAGCACAGTTTGATTCCAAGTCTCTAACTCAATAGTTAGATAAGTGAAACTGAAATTCCAGAATCTACAAATTATTTGCAGCCATGTTTTAATACGAATAACAGAACCCACTTGCTAACAATGCTTAGCTTGACTCATACTTAAGGAAATGTTTGAAGTGATAGCATTCAGTTATTACTGTATATCATCCTGAGCTCAAAATCTCTACTGTGATGCATGGTGGCTGTAGGAACATTATATTGTGGGGTAATGCTTTATTTCAGCAAGGAAAGGAAATCTGGTCAGTGTTAGTGGGATCGGTGAATAAGGATAAAGACATGTGTTAAAGACAATTAATGATGGATAGAGATGAACCTTCCTGCAGGTCAGCAACCCTGAAAATACAGTTACAGCAGAAGGATTTAGAGAAAACACAATCATAAATGCGAGGGGGAGTGGCGGCCTAGTGGATAGGGCGCTTGGAATCCAGAGGTTCTGAGTTCAATCCCCACTCCCACAGACTGACAATCTGGGTCCCTGAGCAAGACCCTTAACCTAACACACTTGGGACAATGGCAGCCCTCTGCTCCCCAATGGAATGGTTAAATACAGAGAGTTCATTTCGTTGCTCTGTACTTGAAACAGTGTAATGACAAAAAAACAACATATATATATATTTATAGTATAGTAGATTGCGATGTTGAAGTCAGCATTGTAGAAAAACTACAGAAATGCTCTCCAGCCGATCCTCTTATGTAATTTGTTTCATATTTTATTTGCTGTGTTAAAAATGCTATGATTATCATTTCAGTTCACAATTAACCACAAACTGTTATTGATCTAATTCTTAAGATTTTTTCTAAAATACATTGAAGCTCCAAAGTATAAAAAGGTTCAACATGTGTGAATAACTCTGCAAAGTGCCGCATGTTCTGCCTATCCTAGGATCAGATGCACATTTCTGAGACACGTCACAGGGTATTTGAAGAAACACATGCATTTTCATGGGGACATCTTTTTTCTCTTGCAACCAAAGTCAGGCACGTGTACAGGTCACTTGCCTCTCACCTGTCAGCATAAAGTCCGAGGCTCTGATATTTGCAGGCTTATAATAATCTGTCTGCATCTGAATGATCAAAACCAGGCGGCAGCAGTGTGACACAACCAGAGCTGTGCAATCGAAAGGCTGAGAAATGATGATTAAAAAAAGAAATATGGTAGTGATTAGGCCTCAGGCAAAATAGGACAAACTGAAGGCAAAGCAAGTGGTAGGATACTGTAACCCCTTTACAACAACAGCAAGTTGCCTAAAGATTTAAGGCTGCAAGGTAGGAAGAATGTCCCCCTAATACGAGGAGCTATTCAAAGGAACTCTTATCAAGGTGAAATAGTGCAGTTGTGTAATTCCTTGAATTTTTGTCTCATCATGTAACAACCTCAAGATTGGTAGATTTTAGCTTTCATCAGTGTAAGCCCACGCAGGGTCATTGTGACACAAAGGCTGAGAAAAACAACAAGGAATTGGGCGAAAATAAGAAGGAGAGGGTTCCTCCTCTAATGTATCTCTCCCTCTGTTGTGTGCAGTTTGGCTCTGTCTCAGAGCCAGACAGCCCTGAGAGCTCACATTTCATTTGCTCTGACGGATCGCATAAGGAGCCCCCCCGTGCAGACCCATATTCCCCCAGCTTTCACTCAGGGCGGCCCCCTCCTACCCAACAACTCGTTTATTAGCTGTAATGTTAAGGCATGTCACTTGATCTAATGTAAATTCATATACGTAAAAGTATGTACCTACTGAAGGCCTTAGGAGTACAAAACCTGCATATATAAAACATTTTTTTTACAATCTTGCTTTGTTAGGGCAGTCTAAGTTAACTGGGATGAAAAGTTTTATCTGCTTTAAAAATACGGCCTTAGACTTTTTTTTCTTACTTTTAAATGGATAGAATCAGAGTAGAAATGATCAAGGGTTTAAGGAGTGGGGCATTTGAATTAATCCAAATTAGGTTGCTTGTAGCCCTAAATGTTATAGATGGATATAGGTTGAATCGACTTTTCAGCAGAGCTGGCTGGGGGCCATTCCTTTTTATGTAATTTAGTTACCATCATCTTTTAACTGATTTGTCTCACTTAGTGACAGAACAAAGAGTTCTTTGTGCGGTTCGGATGGCCATTTGAGCACTGCAAGAACCTGTACACATGGCTAAAAGCCTAAATCTAACCTAAGTTATTTAATTTTACAAGTCTATTAATAGGGAAAATGTCTAATATGTGTTTATGGATGTAGTATGACTCAAATACAAAATAGATCAAATTTAAAGACAGCAGCAGAATGTGTTGCATGGTTTCCCTTCATAGCTAGTCCTGTTAAACAAGTTAATCAGTCTCCCAGGTTTCAGGGTAAGGGTCATCTTGGCTGAAAGCATCAGGAGATTGGATGCTTTGCATGACGGCAGACAGTGTTTGAACATTGTAAACAAAAAGAAAGATGTTTAGTGTGAATCCTTCCCACTCCTGCCTTTATCTGATGGGAAACACAGAGATGGGTTTTATTCTTTCATGACTCTTCAAACAGACTTTCAGAGTTTTAGGTTGGAATAGGCTTAGACTCAACTTTCCTTCAGGTAAAATAGAATAGAATAGAAAGGTAAAAGTAAATACTGTAGGCAGTTCTTAAATACATTTTTAACAGATTAAAATCGGAAAAGTGAGGTGTATAGTTGGATTATACCCACTTTACTCATACATGCCTGAAGAAAATCTGGTGTCACCAGCTGATTTCAAAATGTAGGAGCAGCCATTGATACGCTGCAATGTTGCATATCTCTCTACAAGTTTGCACAAATAGACTAAACTTGAAGCCCATCCTTCATTGCAAAACATCACAACCCTAGTCTGACACAAAACGTTTCCCATGAACTTTAGGTTTCAGCCCAACTCTAGTTTTTTTTTTTTTTTTTTTTTTTTTTACTAGAGTTGGGCAATAAATTGACTTCATTAAAGAAATAAGAATTTGCAGATTTTTAGCAATTTTTTCACCAATTCACTCTTTGGGCTTTCACAGGGATTTTGTTCTTCGATACAAACTCAAAACGGATAAGCCTGGCCTGCTAAATTGTTTACAGGCATGCTACACTGCCTGTAATAAGTTTCATTTTGAAGGGGATTTTTTAAAAATAAGTACCATTTTTCTAAAGTGATGTATTTCCTTTGGGTTTTTTTCCAAAAAAAGATAAAAGGAAGAAAAAAATCAATTAGTCATATTTGGTATAAACAAAAGTGAGATAGTATTTATTAAGCAGTATCGCCCATCCTACTTTTTACAGTTTCTCCATTCGATTAGGATCTGGACTTTGACTGGACCATTCTAAGAGTTGAGTATGCTTTGATCAGTACCATTTCATGTTCAGGGTTTTTGTTTTCTTCAAGCAACCTTCAATCGTTACAAAAGTTTGTTGGTGGGGACGGGGGCTCTAACCTGTTTTCCTCTGGGTTTGCTGCATTCATACCTCTTTAGTTTCAAACTGGAGCAGCATTTGTTCTAGTTCCTCTTCTTTCTTTGACTTATGTCTAGCCAGTTTTCCATAAAGTTCAGACCTAGAGAGTGCAGAACTAATACCTTTCCTGTTGACAGATTCCTCCACCTGAGCTCTGAATATCTGCAGCTCCTCCACAGTCTCTTAGGCCTCTTCTCTGTTTGTGTGACTCCCTCCAGACCCAACCTTTGAGACCAGCCTGCAGGCCAAATGTAGTTAAGTTTGCAGCTGCTTTTGATTAATGGATTGAACAGTGGTCCACAGTTGGAGCTTTGGATACTGTTTTACGGTTTAAGTCAGGTTGAAACATCTCTAAAACTTCCTCTCATTTCTGTCTACTGTGTTTCTAGGGATTTATGATGCTTTTTCACTCATGTTCACCTACACTCTTTCACAAAGCAGCTCGATTTATACTTAAATCATGCCTAAGTAGACTTTGTTTACAAATTTTCGGATTTCTAAAGGTAGTTTCTGTACAAACATTGCTTAATAAATTGGACCCTACAAACATTTCAAATTTGTTTGCATAAAAAGATTGCAAAACATGTATAATTTTCTGTCCATCTTAATATGACAGACTCCTTTGTCTTGGTTTATTTCACACATTTCAGTAAACTACACAAAACCTGTTGGTCATTTAATGGTCTGAATTTTTGTTTTTTTATTACTTTTCAAGACCTTGTGAAGCGTGTCTATTTTATGCTCAATTAACCATCACAGATTGGATGCTTAAGCCATGCTGGGTGACCCGCTGACTTTATGGATGGTCATTTATTGGTAAAAGGTTGTAAAGATAAGCAACTATTTCATGAAACCTTACACACCTCCTCTTTAACACACACTGACATTTTAACAGTGATTAAACAACTCTAAGTAGAAATAATGTGGATGTGGAATTAAGGTTCTCTGAGATGCAATTGAAGCAAGAGAGTGATTCAGTAAATCGTGTGTCTTGCTGCTAGTTAAGCCTCTCCTGACACAAATGGGTGGCTTTAAGCACCCGGACGTGTTTGATTGGTTTATTTGTCCACCTGCTCACATAAGACGAAAGTCCATCATGAGATTAGCTGTCTCAGTCTCTCAGGAATCTGCCCTTCCCCCCCTTTTTTTGACATGTGTCTAATTCCATTTTATTATCCCCCTATTCTCTTTCTATCCAGGAAATTAAAGAAACCGTGCTCACAAGCTGTCTGCCCAGATTGAAGCCATAAAGTCATAAAGGACACAATTAGAATCCAGCCCTCCCACTGCTTCACTCAAAAGTCAACCTCAAGTGGGCGCAGCTAAAATTATGAGGCATGGTGTTATACAGGACATTTTTAGTCAGCGGAAATCTTCAACTTCTTTTTTCGACACCCCACTCCGCTCTGAACTCTTCACTTCCTCTTTCAGTTTAGTTTTTGCCTGCTTAAACATGGTGTTACACCAACGAGCTATTGTTTGTAACATGGTGGCGTTTCCAGGAAGCTTCTCTTTTTGGTTCCCTGCTAAATACTCTTTTTCAGTGTCAGAGTCTTTTTTTAATTGTTGTTGTTTTGTAGAGACAGAGAAGTGAAGGCAGACGGCTGGGTATGGAACAAAGAACCAGGCATTGACATTCAGTGACGAGTTAACTGGAGCAGGCCCTCCTCACTGCTGGCATGGTGTACACTCATGTGCTCGGGGGTCACCTCAACATTGTGAAGCTCTCTATGCCTGCTGTAATAAAGCACAGATTTATGGCGTGTGTCTGCCATGTGCCACTGAGTCAAACTGGGGTGTGTTATGAACTCCAGTTCATTTGGCCTTGCCAATGACATATCACTTCGTCACTGCTGCATCCAAAAATACGCTCTGACTGCACCAGGTTTCAACGTCAAACACCTGCTGTTTACATCTGAATATGTGCTCTACTGAGGGTGCATATGTCCTCCATCTGAACAACTACTTTTAAAGCCTAAACATGAAAATTTTGCTTATAAGAAGTGCTTTTATGTTAATAGATAAGAAATCCTACGTTTTTTTTTTATGAGGACTTCCTATTTACCCAACTTTAATGTGTTTTGTTTGCAGCTAATTTAAGGAAACATTGACACTTGACTTCATTATTATCCCCAATTTCAAAGGAGAATGCATTTATGGAGATACAATTATATTACCAAAAGAAAAGGGCCATTAATATTATAAAAATAAATAAATAATAACATAAAGTTGTAAGAATGATGAAGGGAAACAGAAAACCAGCCCAAGGCTAGAAGTGGGTATTGGCTGATCACCTGTTTCATGGTTTTGGAAAGTCTCGGTTTGAAACCACAAACTATTGCAGACAGTTTCTCTCTGTTTTCTTTAGAACCTTATTAGAAACCCTTGTATCAAAGCTGTTTTATATGTACCTGTTTTTAACCTTTTTGTTAGTTGTTTCATCACGAGTTAATGCTGGCTGCAGTAACAAAAAGAAAACTTTTCAGATTCAGCTAGTTTTTCTGGGTGGGACATTAAAGAAAATGGAGCAGGGCACTGATAATCCTTATTATATCATTTCCATGTGACTCATTCAGTTGCAATTGCAAACTCTTCCATCATGATTTCAGTTAAATGAAAAGCTAAAAAATTAACTTTTCCCATTGGATTTGCTTCCAGTGCAGCAGCAACTGAACCTTCTATTTGTTTCCATGCAAGCAGTTGGGAAACATTTAAAACATAAAGAAAAGAAACACATTTGTTCACGGAAATAAGCACTCCAAGTGTCTAATCCTTATTCAACCCATGTCTGCTGACTGACAGATCCTCTACGATAGTCCCAAGGCAAGACGAGAGGTGGAGCTACACTGGCGAGTGTCGGGAGGGCCGTACATCGTCCGCATCCTGAGCTTGTATGAAAACATGCACCATGGGAAGAAGTGCCTGCTCATCATCATGGAGTGGTAGGACAACTAGACAGTTCACAAATGTTGACCTAATTCAGCTTCCTACACAGCAACAGCTCCAATACTTTAAGGAAAATAAAGATTCAACTATTTTTTATCATAATAAAGGTATATTGTTGCGAAAATGGGTTTCCTGCTTCCAGGTTTCTCTGTCTGTACTGTTATGTTTCACTTTTTATGTTATGCAACAAAAACTGAGTAAATAAAAACCGCCACCTAAGGGAGACATTTAGTGTCCTACTCTTGTTAAATGTAGTGTGACTAAATTGAGTGCCTCTGCAATTGGAAAATTGTATATTTCTATTTTACGATTATATTGCAAATGCAATTGATTGCCCAGCCCTATATATTAGTATACTATATGAATACATATAACGGACGGACTGGTAAATAATCAGATGCATGGTGTGTTTTTTTTTTTTTTATTATTAATATTATTGCTAAAGTTATTTTTATTGTCTTTTTTACAATTTACATATGTTTAAATGGGCATTTGTATTTTTATAACCGTCAGATTGAGATTATTTATTAACCTGACGTTTTTCATGCATGCATATATAAACATATTAACATGTCTTCTCATGTCATTTTAGCCTAATATTAGATTTGTTGGATTATATGAAATATTTAAGTGTTAGAAAATCCCCCAGAAGAGATTTTTGTAAGTAGGTTATACACAGAGATGGGAAGTAACGGAGTACAAATACTTCGTTACTGTGCTCAAGTTGATTTTTTTTATATTTTTACTTTACTTTACTACTTATTTTTTTGGCAACTTTTTACTTCTACTCCTTACATTTTTACACAAATATCTGTACTTTCTACTCCTTACATTTTAAAAAATTGGCTCGTTACTTTAGTTTTGAATCATTTCAATGGAGTTACCGTTATTATTTTTCACGTCATCAATACCAAATTCAATCTAATTGGATGGGAATCTACATTGCATTTGACGCACCACTACAAGATGAATCGACAGATTCGGCGGTATTCATACAGCTTGGTGGCGGTGGCGTTAGCATAGTAGTATGGACGACGAGATGATTGAAAATGAACACAACGGAGATCTAGTCCTATTGGCAGACATCCATTTAAAATGTAGGCAACGGCATGAAAAAAGTGGTTTCTACTTTTACTTTTACACTTTAAGTAAATTTACAAGCCTGTACTTTGTTACAGGCTTTGTCCACTTTTACCAGAGTATTTTTTAACACAAGTATCTGTACTTTTACTCAAGTACGGAAAGTGAGTACTTTTGCCATCTCTGGTTATACATGCATACATGAAATACAGCACTGTTGGATAGATACTGTTGTAAGATATTCTGAGTTAGAAGCTGCAAAGCTGTTTTCATTAGTAGGATTTTTTTTTTTCAATGCTTAGAAGAGAAAGACTAATTATAATCACATGGGTTTTTTTTTACCAGTTAGGGAAAGAGTGTCTATAGTAATAACACTTTTTTGAAACTTTTATCTAACAGGCTGAAGATTAAAAAGGGAAAGGAAAAAATGACAGACATATGCAACTTTTTTTTGTTTCTACTTTAACACGTGGTTAACTCTGAACTTTGGACTATCCTTGATTGTAAATGGAAAAGTTATCGCAGAGGGTAGAAAAAAAACCACTACCAAAAAAAATCACAGTGACTTAAGGGGAAATGACTGTTTCCTTTCTGGGGGAATTTACACAGTGGCTGATTGTTTTAACATTTATTTACACTGCAACTCTCTGCCTTCAGTGGATTCCCTGACCTGGTGTGTGTGTGTGTGTGTGTGTGTGTGTGTGTGTGTGTGTGTGTGTGTGTGTGTGTGTGTGTGTGTGTGTGTGTGTGTGTGTGTAGGAAGGGGTGTGTGTGTGGGTGGGTGTATGTAGGCAGGTGGGGAAGTTGAAAGTTCTTCATAATGGCGGCTTCATTATTGATACAAACATGTGTTGGTGACGGCCTATCAGAGAAAGTATTATTTACACAGTCAACTTCCTGACCTTTAACCCCTGACTAACACCTCCTGCCTAAAACAGGATCCACTCTGTTTATATAAGGTCTGAAGTCAAAGATAGATGTTTGCATTTAAGTTCAAAAGAGATAAAAGTTTAAGCATCAACTTAGTTTGCCGTTCAGCAACACAGCAGTGCTAAGAACAGCGGATTAAAGTAGAGTGCTGCATGGTGATGCAAGAAATCCAGACTTCATATTTGTAAACAAATTCCATCTAGAAAATTTAAGTACACACAATTTCTCCTGCCATATATCGTCAGCATTTGTCTTTAATGGATTACTCTCTATTTTCTATAAAATATTTCACTGCAAATTTTGTCTGATTCTGATTTTTCTTTGTGGACATATGAAAATATATTAGCATTTATTTCTGTTTATATATAAGAAGCTCTCTCTTTCGGACAGAGAGTAAGCCATTAAATATTTGTTTACTTAACTTTTAAAAAGAAAAAATGTTATAGCTGTCTTTAGCATCTTATATCATTGATAAAGGGATCCTGCAACAATAGAAATCTATGTAAGTCAATTTTTCTTTAAATAAGTCTGTTTTTTCTGTAAGTTAGACACTTTACCAATGGAATAAGACAAATTACTTTTATAAATAAGAAAAATAAAAACTGCATTCTCTTGTTTCAAGTGCATAATATTATATTATCTTATTTTAAGGGTAAAAATATTCATCCCATTGGCGGATCATCCTATTTACCTACTTAAATTAAGTTTAAATGCACCTATTTTGAGAAATTTGTACAGATATTTAGATTATTTTTGTAAACAAGCTGGCATTCCATATATATCTACAGAATGTAGATTCTTACCTTAACCCTGAGATTTTCAAAATACTCTCAGTCCTTTTCAAGTCTGCATATTTCATCAAACAAATATGTTGGAAACCCTAGACAGATCAAAGTAGAGCTACTCAGTTGATTCCATGTCAGCTGTTCATTTATTACTTCATCTCTTGCTTACCGTTCACCTTAAAGGTATAGTGGAGGATTTTCACAAATTTTTGAAAAGACCCACCCTCTCCACTTTAAAAAAAAATGCACATGTACAACCCTATACCCGCTCCTGAGAGGGAACGCCATTTAAACGTGTTAGAGAACATGCACAACCACATTTCTCCCCATGCACGCTCTGTTTAAATGTTGCTGTTTGCATCGCTCATACAAGCTTACTTTCCACTATGTCAGACTCACCACCGGTAAGTTAAAATGGGGACGAGCACGTAGGATGTTCTTATATAAACATATCACCAGAATGATTGACAATTAGGAGGACCACTTATTTTGATGATCCATCCGGAAAAGGAGCATCCTCCTCTACACCTTTAATGAACAGCAGACATGTCCTTACATACGAGTAAAAATACAGTTTTAGAACACCCACTACTCTAACTTATAAACCAAACTTCATACTAAGAGGATCTTCAAACCTTCTGCTGTTCCTTTGCATGACATGGGGTTTAAGGGAGGATGGTGAACTTCAGATAGTGGACCAAACAAGCTCACAGTGAAATTTCTCCTTCATCTGCTCATCTAAAAAACAGAAAAAGTACATTCTTATAAATCCACTTAGCAAATGGAGTACAAAACCTAAAACTTAACTTAAACATTTTGGTAATTGTCTCAAAATGTGGAAATAGCAAGGCTGCATATTTCAGCAATTAATTCAATAAAAACAAACTTTAAAATGATGATATTTCAATCTGAAAAACTCACACAAGGAGAAAAGACAATTAGAAGAAATTTATTGACACAATTACTCTTTGGCGCTCAGACCTCGGCAGGAAACATAGAGAAACTGGTGCTGGAGTGGAGATAGATGAAGTTGGTCAGTCTGTAGACTGTTGGTTAGCGAGATGGTATGCTGAGCTTATGGGGACATCCAGTGGACTGCGTGAGCTGATACTAGAGCTTCACTAAGGGACCTGGAAGATGGAAGTCCAACTTGGATAACACAGGTTCAGAGAACCTGTCCATGATGAGCAAGCATGAGCGAAAGTGGAGAGGAAAAACTTCCCATTGGGAAGAAACCTCTGGCAGAACCAGGCTCAACATGGCGGTCTTCTGCTGGACCGGTTAAGAGGAGACGCGGAATGCAGTAAGAGTCCGGAAATAATGAAACCACAATGAAGCTTTAGCTGCAGTGGTGGAGGAGATGATGGAGGTGGGTTAAAACGGGGTCATCTAAATGAAGTCAGACAGCGCATCCACAACCTGCACACTTAGGAGCAGACCAGCAGATCGGAGGCCTTTAAAGATGGACTTGGATGCTGATTGGCTTTGGTGGAGGTGTGGTTCAAAGCTGATTGATTGAATCGCAGGAGGATGTAGGAGAGCAATTAGGTTCTTCAGTTGAATCTAAGCCTAGGCTCCATTTGTGTAAAATACTATCAAGCTTAATACTTTCTGATACACAATAAGTATCCTAAACCATAATGCAGTGACTTAGACTTAGACAAACTTTATTGTCATTTTGTATACACAATAGTCATTCATGGAACCTGGAGATTTCCACCATGCTCCACGCCAACATGATGCATTCTTAGAGTATTCCTACTTGACAACAACTAAGTCTCATTAAATTGTTTGCTGAATTAAGCCATGGAATTTCTCCACTGTTTAGCACACTACAGAGTACAAAACTTCTCAGAACAGCCTGTGTAAAGGTGGAGCAAAGAGGGGCTTTTTACACCCATATTCCCAATATGTGTCTGTGAGCATATCCACAATTGCTCTGTCATGACAAAATAAAAACATCCCGAAAACTGCTGTATCACAATGCCATGCTCTGTATCTAACGATTCAAGAATATAAGTACAAAATATAAACTTCTTTTACCTTGATCCTAATGGTACAGATGACACTACCTCCCATTTTATTAACTTTTGAAAAGGGCTTCAAACTGAACAGCATTTTCTGGCATTTGCTGTAAATCCAACAATAAGAAGTTTAAAAAAAAAAAAAAAAGGTCTTAGTGCTCTTTTAGAGTACAGAGATGCCTTCCTTCAAGTAATGACTGGAGACATTAGGGCCTGTACCGGGAGGACAAGCTTTGATATAATTATGGCTATTTTTAGTCTATTATCTTGGCAGAGATAGCAACTGAAACCCAAGATGGAATGCATTCCTGCAGAGGAAGGAAGAGCCCAGGCAAAGGATAAGTTAAGGGGAGGGCAGTGTCTACCATGTCTTATATGTGTAGGCTTTTGGGGGCTTGGTTTTATTTAAATGTGAATTCTCTCATCAGATTTTAAAGTTGTTGTTTTTTTTTTTTACAACCTCAAGCAGCTTCTTTTAGGATTAATAATAGCTGCCTAGCATTGTTATTGTGTTTTGCAGTAGGCAAACCCTTGGGTCAAAAATTGTGCCATTTGAGACCTCACCATATTTCTGCCATAGTGCTTAATCTGGTGATTTTCCAGCTTTTGCAGCAATACCAGCTCTAACTCATCTGAAGTCAGACACTGATCCTGCTCTATCAAAAAGGCGTATTGGCTTGAGGTCAGGACTTAGCCTAGTAAACTAGCCCCACCCGCCAGCGGCCAAAATAATTTTTGCCTGCGAGTTTGGTCTAGTCTCGATCAATGCCCCAGGCCCTAGAACTGGCGGGCCAATCACAACGCAGAGATGTGTTTTGTATTTTTGGATGCAAAGCGGGCGGGGTTTTGGGGGCATGACGACAAAGCTGTGTGACGCTGGAGAAAGCACAACAAGGAAGATGGCAACAACTATTGAACAGTTCTTGTTTGACTCAGCTTTGGAATCAGTCTTGGAAGGATTAGACTTGGGTTTTTTGTTGAAACGTGAGCAGGAGGCTCTACGCTCATTCATTTTTAAGAAGGATGTATTTGCCATTTTACCAACAGGCTGTTTGTTTACACTCCCCAACCAGCTTCCTATCGTGCTTACTACGTCACAGTCAGTTGCGCTCATTGGTCAGAGCGTTGACCAATAGGCACAGACATAGTTTGAAAAACAATGGGTTGTTCTCATCAACAATCTTCCGATGTCTCATTCATCGGGGCCAGACTAAATTACACATTTAATCTCACATTTAGTCTGGTTTATCAGGCTAGTCTGGACTTTTTGTAGGCCAGTAAAGTATTAGTGACCAGAGAGTTGGTTGTAGGAATTTTTCCTGAATGTCTCAATATCAAGAAACATTCAGAGATCCTTTCAGTTGTTTTGAATAAAAGAGAAAATTCTCTACACCATAATCCACCCTCTGCACCAAATATTAAATATGACACACAGGAATCAGCAAAGTCCCAATCTATTACATCAGATTTTACTTTTTTTTTTTTTAGAGGCCTGACATGTTACTACAGAGCACACATCTCTGATGGGCTTCATATGTTAGACCCCTTGCATGTTTTGGAGTATACTTTGGATGTAAGGCTTGGGTGCATCCACGTGGCTATGGAAAATGCCTTCTAAAAGCATGATTAAAACTTTTCCTTCCTCCATTTATTTTATCTTCCAGTTTATCTCAAGTGAACTAGAAAAAATAATTGATGAATCAGAATTGGTAAACCAGTTATATAATCCTTCAAGTCAACGTCTTTTAATATGTTACATGAAAGCTTTCATTTATCCTTGCTTGCAAATCTAATGGCTTTCCTGTACTATCTCTGTCTGTTCAGTATGGAAGGAGGAGAGCTGTTCAGCAGAATCCAGGCTAGAGGAGACCAGGCCTTCACTGAAAAAGGTGAGAATAGAAAAACACAAAGGATTATCCTCTTAGATGCATTACACACAAAAAATAGGTCTGATTCGTGGAGTAAGATTTACTTTTAGTAGACTGTCGCATGGAAGGGCTCCCAAGCATCCAGACTACACCTAAAGTATACCTGGGTGTGCTTCCTGTACCTCTGTGTCGCTGTGGTTTGTATACTGCTGTGTCCAATTTGCTTTTGGTTTGAGAGAGTCTGTTTATCTGTTTCTTCCCAGAGGCGTCTGAGATTATGAGGGACATCGGCACAGCCATCTCGTTCCTTCACAACATTGACATCGCCCACAGAGACATCAAGGTACACAGAGATCGAAATGAGAAGCTCCAAATCATAAAGGCCCACTGTAATATCTGCTCATTGGAGCATCCGTCCCTCCATTTCTCTGCTTGTGTCTTCAGCCAGAGAACCTGCTGTATACCACTAAAGCTAAAAACGCAGTCCTTAAGCTGACAGACTTTGGCTTTGCAAAAGAGACGACGCTACACAACCCCCTACAGACGCCCTGCTACACACCGTATTATGTGGGTAAGATGTTTCACTACTTGTTGAAGTGCATAGGAAGATCTCTAGAAAGATTTATTGGTTTCAGTTGTTTCTTCAAAGGAAAACCAATGTAGTTGTGGAAATGTGTTTCTGACTGCTAATATTCACCAGTATATCTTCTGTGATTGTGTTTTGATGTGTTGACACTGATAAGCCCCTGAGGTTTTGGGTCCGGAGAAGTATGACAAGTCTTGTGACATGTGGTCTCTGGGCGTCATCATGTACATCCTGTAAGTACTTATAGTCCATTCGGTGGCGTTATTCTTATTATTATTTTTGCAGGACTTTCCCAGTAATGTTTACTCTTGTTAAACTTTTTTACAATTTGGTATAGCAAACTTTAATGTATTTTTGGGGAATTTACATTGTTATCAAGAGGGAAGAAAATTCTGTGCTTTAAATATTTCAATAAATACAAAACAAAAAAAATCCAGTATGGATTTGTGGTGTGATTATGTTGCTGAACCACTTTTTGCTGCATCTGTTTTCTGTTATATCTCCATCAGCTTCACACATCTAAAGATACTTTTAATTTAAAGATTTTTTTAATTACAAAGTTTGTAAATTTTCATTTTAAAGACTGGATTTTGAGCATCTGTAGACATAATTTTTTTTAACCTGACTTCAGATTCTCATTTAGATTTAGGCCTGGACTTTGACTAGGCCATTTTAACACATAAATAACAAAATAGTTGTCTTACAGCGTTGTTGCGTGTTTACTTCTTTTCTACTTCTTATTAACACTGACCACAGCTGCCACCACCGTGTTTCACTGTGGAGGTGGTGCATCCAGCATGATGTTTGATGTTAGTCTTCTACCATCTTCAGCATTCTGCATTTAGGCCAAAAAATTCCATTTTGGTTTCATGTAAACAGAGCACCTACTTTTACATGTTAGCTTTGCCACCTGTGGCTTGAAGGCAAACTGTAACACTTTTGCTGTTTTTTTATAGCAAGATTAAATCTCACACAGAGGCTCTGTTTACCAATTAGAAGATAGCTTGAAAGCAGTTTGCTTCTTCAACTTTAGGAGTCTGAGTAAAGGGGGCTAGATTTTTATATGTGATAAAATGTAAAATGAAATCATGGCAGAGTATTAGCTTTCAAAGGTACCAATTAAAAACATCCTTAACAGTCACCCTCCCTGTGCTTTTTTACCCAGGCTGTGTGGCTACCCTCCGTTCTACTCCAACACGGGTCAGGCTATTTCTCCAGGAATGAAGAGAAGGATCAGAATGGGCCAGTATGAGTTTCCAAATCCTGAGTGGTCTGACGTGTCTCAGGAAGGTAGGATTTCAGTAATATTTCTAAATGGAGCAAATGAAGGAATGGTCGGAAGAAAACCTCTGGGCTTACATAAACCAGAGAACAACAGTTTCAGTTCAAATAGACTATCATGACTACAAAATAGGATTTGTTAAACTCCACAGTTAAGATTGTATTAATATTTAAAGCTTTTAAAATTAAATTATGATTTTGCACATTCAGAAAAATTATCATTATCATTATCACAGACAGAATGTGCAACATAAATATGAGACACAAAGACCTATATTCAGCCTAACCCCAACCCAGCTTAATATATAAAAACAGTCACAGCTTAAAAAACATTTAATTACTTAAATGAATTGAAAGTCTTGTTCCACTGTTGCTGTGCTGTTGTATATATTCTGCACCAATATTGCATGAAAACATATGAGAAAAATCTTTGGTATGTCTCGCATACATAAAATAATTTCTTACTCAGTTTTGTTAGAGCCACAGGGAAGGGGCCATAGAGCCCTATATAGCTCTGGAACCAAAGGTTGCTGACCCCTGATCCAAACTAATGAATAAAAAGGAGATATTTGGATCAGTTGTTCCTGAAAGGATTGATATTTACAGACTTTCAAGTCAAACAGGAAGTCAGTAAATCTTTTCCACTTGTAAAGTGGAAATTACCATCGCACTTCCTATTATATCTGCTACAAGAAGAAGAGGAGGCATCAAATGCATTGACTGACTGCTAGCGAAAATTCCATAAAATCTAATGAAAATGGTAATTTTAAAGACGAGAAATTTAAATGCCTTTATTTCTTTTTTTATGTAAGTCACAGCATTGTGTAGGCTATGAACAAAACAGGAGACAATGTTTAACAATGGAGTATTCGCCATAAAGAATTGTTTTTCTGCTCTCCTCCATGTTGAAAGGTCAAAATTAACCGTGTCTCAACGTGGATATCATAAAATGTTTCCAGTTTTTCAGTGAATAAAACAACATGAGGTGTTCATCTGCATTTTTGATGTTGTTTTTTGGTATTTACCATAATTACGATACCACATGAAGGCAGAATAAGACTCAGAGGTGCTGGGAGAACTCTGCAGTTGGTTTGGATTAGTCAGCATGTTAACTTGCACACATTAAACTTACTGTTTAAATGCTCTTGACACCAGTTGAAATATTTATTAACTTAGCTTGTACAAAAAAATCACTAAGCTTAGGTCAATGAGAAGAAACACAACCTGAAAGCAAATCAGAGCTGCTGTTCCTTATAACTGGACACAAGTTGTAGAATCACACCTACAATATGAAAAGTGTCCATGTAGTGACTTATTCACTACTATTATCACATCTGGAAGTCTGAATTTAAAGATAAGGTTTGCCTAAATCATAAAGATTAAGGCCTATGAAATTTTAGTGACGACACAATCACCATAAAATCTAAACTAGCTACCAGGCTGGCATCCAGGCAACGGTAATGAAAAGCTTCTAATACAAAGAAGGGCTACTGTTTCTGTAGATATTTTTTTTTATAAAAAAAAAAAGCATGAATTGGCGTTGGCAAAAGGATCTTTAGAGCAGGTTATAAAGTCTCTATTGTGAACATTGTCCTAACAAGTGTGGAGTTGACCTTCTTCTGAAGCATGCAGCACCTGAAACAGGAAACCATGGTGCTGCACAGAATGACTCTGCAGCTTTACTTGGTGACCTACTAATTTACAGAGATAATTACAGGGAAATGGTTAGTGAGATGATTGGCCAAACATGAGATGGTTAGATAATGTCTACGCTTTGACAGCACTAGTTAGTTTCCATCCTGGAACAAGTTTCTGTTTGCTTTAGTTTCACACTGCAAAATCTATTTAGAAATAAGTCAAAATTTCTTACATTAAACAAAATTTGAGCACATAAATAAGATGATCTGCCAATGGAATTAATACTTTTTACTTAATTAAAATAAATTAATTTAAAATAAGATAATTAGATAATATGCACTTGAAATAAGACAATACAATTGTTTTTTTTTCTTATTATGTTACCTCCTCAATTCAAGAAAAAAACTACCGTCTTTATTTAGATTTCAGTTCTTTGCAGTGTAGAAAATCGTCTTTATTTCCCACATCTTTTCTTTCTTTTTTCTGACCTCACCAGCCGCCAACCTTTTGCCCAACAATGACAATTGATAATTACCTTGTTCTTTTCTAAAATTTACCTTAAATTTTTTTTTTTTTTTTTGTAATGTACAAACTCAATAATATCACTGTGTAAATATTGTCCACTGAAAACAAGAAATAATTTTCTTAAAATAAACCTTTAAACCTTTTCTAATCAGTCAACATTTTTAGGTAGTATACTTTACCTTTCCCTCCATTCAACATGATATAGAAGTGTTCAAAAGAGTTTATACCCCTGAATATTTTGACATTTTTTCACAAAAAAACAAAAACCTCAAGATATAATATTAGGCTTTCATGCCACAATCCAAACCAAAGCAAGGAATACAATTATGAAGCACAATAAGAAGAATATATGGTTTCCGAATATTGCATTTATAAGAATGCACAAAATTCATCATGCATTTGCATTCATCTCTTCTATGTGATTTTAAGACTCTACTTCTGTGTATTCAATCCAGTTGTTCTCTGAAGGCCTAGTTTGCTACATTAGTGAACAAACAACAACATGAGGACCAGAGAATACAGCAGACAGATCAGGGAGAAAGTTTTGGAGAGGTTTAAAACAGTATTAGGTTATAAAAAGATATTTCAAGCTTTAATGTCTCACAAACAACTGTTCAACCCATCACCTAAAGAACGACGTCGGGGTACGGCCCAATTGTAATTCTAAAAGTTTTCCAGCTGGGGCCTACAGGGTGGGGAAGAGTGTTTATCAGGGAAGCCGCCAAGAGGTTCATCGTAACTTAAAATAAAATTAGTTGCACAGGTTATATGTCCTGCCTTGATGACAGAGTTGTAAAACAGGAGCATTTTAGAAAGAAAGGCACAAGAAATCCTATTTTAAGTTTACCTTAAACAATGAAGAGGTCACAGCAAGCAATTGGAAGAAGGTACACTTGTGAGAGGAGACCAAAATTAAGTTAGTTCTATGAGTTGGAGGACAACTTAAAACACTACTGTATTCTCAGACTAAAGCACGGCAGAGGCCTCATCCTTTTCTTTTTAGCAGGGACATGGAAGCTGGTTTGATTGCAAAAGCTTTCATGCTTCTACTCAGCTTCCCCTTTCAGCAGGAAAACCACCTTAAACCTTTGGCGGGACAGACTCGATTAAAGCAGAAGTAGAATGGCCCAGTCAAAGTTTACATTTAAGATTAAAAACGAGAATCTGTGTTATAAGGTTCAGAGATGCTCTCCTTCCAATCTGACCAAGTTGGATACAAGAATCAGCAAACATCACTAAGTTGGTACAGACATACCCCAAGGTAGTCACTCCTGTAACTACAGCAACAGGTGGTTTCACAAAGTGTTGAGTGAAACAATGACCTGCTCTACTTGCCTGCAATGAGTAGAGCAGCAGACTTTTCTTGCTGCTTGATTCGTTTAAATCACTAGTTCTGATGATGCCGCCTGTGACATTGGCTTCAAACCTAGACCTAGATGAAGCAGATAGATGTGCAAGATGTTTACAGCATCTTACTGAAAACCATTAGCTTTTTTTTTATTTTTATCTCTGCCTCCTCCTTTTAACCAGGTCTGGGATAACATTTCTAGATCAGTCTGTGCTTCACTTGTTCACAGCTACTAATCTCATCTTCACCATGTGTTTTCTCTCAGCTAAAGATCTGATCCAACAGCTGCTGAAGACCGACCCAAATGAGAGAATGACCATTACTCAGTTTATGAATCACCCCTGGATCAATGTAAGTAGCTGCCTCACAATCTGCCTCCTCTTTTCCCCCCCATCTGTCTCCGTCTTCATCTGGACCCCTGTGTTTGTGTCTTTCCCACTCTGCAGCAGTCCATGATGGTTCCCTCCACTCCACTGCACACCACCCGGGTCCTCAATGAAGACAAGGAGCTGTGGGAGGATGTGAAAGTAAGCTGAAGAACTAACAACACTGCCTCCTTCTGGTCACTCTTTTTCATTACAACCTGTTACTGACATTTCATTGACCTTAATTTTATCCTTTGTAATAAAAAAAATATGTAGGACTCAATCAGAGAGGCAAAGTTTAGCTCTTTATTCGGCTTGCAATATTTTAGTTCAAATTTAAAATGCAAATTGATCTCTTCACATTTTTTTCAGCCTGTCCTAAATAACTTTAATTTATAAATAACCATTGTTTACCTATAGGCAAAAATATTATCTGCTGGAAAATTGCTGTGAGCCATCAAATATATCATCAAATTTGACCCCATTTAACATTTTTCATCGTCCTCGGATGATTCCTCATCTACCACTAGGTGGAAGAAGTTGTCCCTGCCTGTAATATGAGCCTCTTAAAAATGTACAGTAACACTAAGCATGCTCCTCCTTCCAACTGTTTCTGTTTGTCATACAGAAAGAAATGAGACGTTCCATGCTTTCTTTAAGTCACACAGGGCTACTTTTTCATCCACTGAGCAAAATGTCCCAATGTAAATTTACACATTCCTTCACAACAATGCATGTGCATGACTGAAGAGATAAAGTGTGAAAAGACCTTTCCGTAAAACGAGTAACTCACAACAGTCTGCTGCTCTGTGTCGCAACTGACCACAGCAGTGTTACATAAAAACCTGGTAAACTGCACAAAAAGACACAAAACCTACGTCTTTAGTTATACAGGCTGACAATTGTGGATGACAAGTAGAAATTACTCCTGAGGCTCGGGTTTCTCTTGACCCCAGCTTAGAGCACTTTGACCTTTCACCTCAGTTTATAAAAATATACTCCATTTTCTTCTCATCTCCCATTGCTTGCCTTACAAAAATATTCTCTCCCGTTGGACTTTTTTTTATTTCATCAAACCCTTTGGTGTTTTTTATTGAGCTTTTGTGTGACGTATTTACATTAATTAATGGTAATTATGTATAATCATATGTTGATGTGCTAAAACCTGATACCTGCAGCTTTTTCACAACACTATTTATTTACAAGTCCACCACTAGTGGCTGAGTAAAGTTCACCTGTGAACATCAATCTTCAACTCTTGCCTGGAATTATCTCTTTGATTTAGGTCTGGACTTTCCAGTCCTACACACAAATATGCTTTGACTTGCTCTGGCCCTATGTCAGAACCGTCATACTGCTGGGAACTGAATCTCTGCGTCAGACTTTTTTTTTTTGCAGTGTCTAATAGGTTTACTCACTCTTGATTTCCCTGCATTAACCTGGTTCATCCTCCCAACAACAGCTGCCCTATCCCTACTGAACGACAGCATCCCAAAGGATCACCATGGCATCGCCATGCTTCACCATAGTGATAGTGTATTCAGAGTGATGCACAGCGTTAGATTTCTAACACACAAAAGGCAGCGTCTGCAAGCTAGCAGTTCAGGCAAGCACCGTACTGCTGGTCCCTCTCAGATTTTCTGGAATATATCAAGCATGCTCTACATACTTGCCTCTATTTAGCCCCTCCACCAACCCCCCCACTTGGGGTGAAAGGTCACTAAGCATCTCGTAGTTTCCCCGACATGCAGAAACATCTTATGGGGGTACACAAAGGCTAGATTTGTGGATCCCACATTTAATGCTCTGTGAGACGTTCAAAGCTTAGAATATTGCTTTATAACCTATCCTGTTTTAAACTGCATCACCACTTTCTCATTGATCTGCTGCTGTCTTTAAATGATGCTGCTTATTCAGTGATGTTTTTTAACAACCTTAAAGGCCTCTACAGAACAGCTTAATTTGTACTGAAACCAAAACAACCAATAAGGCACTACTTATTTTGGTTCATCACAAAATCTAAAAGAAAATACAGGTGTTTGAGGTTGTAAAATGACAAAACATGAACAAACAGATAGTTATTGAGGGTTCTAAATATGTTTTTCTTTTTTGTTAATTGTTAATAGTTTAAGAAAGCTGATAAAATGAGTAGAATAATCAAACACGCAGCCGAAAAGTCCCTTAAGAGCCTGATAACTTAGTACTTTGTTTGCAACTTTTCCCTGCCTTGTCTCTAATAGGAGGAGATGACCAGCGCCTTAGCCACCATGCGTGTGGACTACGACCAGGTGAAGATCAAAGACCTCGACACATCCAGCAACCCCCTTCTCAACAAAAGACGCAAGAAGGCCGCTGCAGGGGGCAAGAGTGGGTCCACTGTGTGCCAAAGTCAGTGAAATGAGGAAGAACCTGTGATTAAAATCCTGACCAAACAGCGTCAGTGATGAAGAGAAACCGCTTGTGTTGAGGAGAAAATGAATCGAATTATTCACAGGGCTGGTCTGAAGCACAGAGAGACTGGAGGTTAAAATGCACTCTGAGAGAAGGGAACAAAGAAGAAGAATTAAAACCAGGCATGTGTTCCTATTAGTGGTAGAAATCAACAAATCTGCTCACTGGTTGTATCCGAGTTAATTATTTTTATCTGTGTGGTTTTGTAGTTGTAGATTAATAGAGATAATGGTGTCTGTGTGCAGACATGACATACCTCTGGTGATATTATTTAGCATTTATATGCTGGGTTGCCTAAAATCTGCAGACAGGTAGATGCAAACTTCACAGAGAGACTGAAGCAACCCTTATTGCCTTTATTGTCTTAATGTATTTTTTGCTGCTTTTCTTTTTAAAATTAAACCCCAGTCTCACAACCGGTGTTCTGTTGCTTAAAGGGAGCCTCCATGCCGACATACAGCTCCACCTGATGGAAGATTTTTCACAAAAGGGGCAATAAAGATGGAATCACACTGACTGAGTTTTTTTAACCTGTGGTATTTCTTCAGAACACTCAGTGTTCCAGTAAATGAAGTAACTAAAATTTGGCAACAAAGCTTTACGTAATAAACAGTTGGTTACCGCTTGTTTTGTGACATGGATTTACAACATATTACCCAAGAAGTAGGGAATCTTTAAATGTGTAGTCGCTGGGTAAAGCGCTTCTCCTAAGTGGTGGTTATAGTTTGGTTTCAGATTATGTGTACGCAGTCCAACAATAGCTTGAATCCACTTGAAATCAAGGATTAACGCAACAAGAAATCCCAGTGAGGTCTGACCGGGAAGGTCAAAGGTCTCCTGGTTTGTTTGATTTGCCTCCGAATTTCAGACTGGGATCCAAACAAAAAAACAAAGAAAAACCTGATTTAAGTGAGACACACACTTTGTGAAGCTGTAATGAATAGTTTATAGCTGAATGTTTTAATACATCCTGCAAAATCAGCAGCCATATTCATTCTGAACTCAGATTAAGAGAGGATCTCCGCCGTTATATGCATTTTTCTTTTAAACACCTAACTTGGTAGTCTCAACCTCCCAGAGGAAAACCGCTTGCAATGCTGTGTGCTTTATTTATTTTTTTACGTTTGTAACTGAGTCCATCAGGCTTTGTTAGGTTAATATAAATAGAAGCAGTGAAGTACTTTTCTGGGACTCGGCCATCTGACGTGCCACTGGACACCAAAAGGTCAACATTATTATGTTTAGAAGATAAGAACCTTTCCCCCACTTCAATCACACGCCCGTGCAGTATTTGGGGTATAGGTTACACGACCATAAACTCAATTTAGGGTTCCCAGCTGAAAATATGGTACAGGCTCTTATTTAGTGTTTGGTTTAATTATGAAAACAAACACTTATAAACACCGAAGGAGGAAATTACAAATTGCATAATTTTTTGAGTAAAGTGTTTGGGTAATCCATCTACTGTGAGTAGCTTGACTTAATAACCAACAAGTGTGGGTTTTTTTTAAGTGCTCCGTGCAGTTAATGTGCCCCACAGTTCATGTTTATGATGCTCCATTTTTGTACAAAAGCTTACCTGAACCTACCATGACACCTGGACAAATGTAATATTCAATAAGGAGTAAATATTTTCAGTGGATGTACAGTTTTCATAAGTTTTATGATAAAAAGAAATTAATTTTGGAAAAGTTCTTCAGCTTCCGTTCTGTTTCTTCCACTTAAAATTATTTTTCTGTTACATTATTTGTATAAGTTATTGTATTATATTCTTTAAAATGACCGAATATACACCTAACTTTGCTTTTTTTTTTTTTGGACTTTATAACATCATTTTACATATCAGATGTTATGATGTACTTCAGTAGCCTTTTTACCAGAAACTTCTTTACTCTTACTTGAGTAGAATTTGTAGGTACTCTACCCACCTCTGTTTATTTCTGTGGAACTTTACAGAGTGATTTCTAATCATGAGTTTCGTACATGAAAAACCAGCAGTAGGATGTTTTTGTCTGTGCTTATGAGTCATTTTAAGAAGACAGGGCTGGTCTTGTCATTTACTGCACCATTAATGCATAGCTAACATAATGAACTTTTTACTAGATTACACCAAACCTGCTATCAACCCTCCCCTGAGGCTTACGTTAAATAAGAAAGCTGACCTATGCAGCAATACAAAGAGAGCATAAAAGGTCGTCTGATATTGTAACTCCTGATATTTTCTGATGTTATTGATGAGTCAGTTCTGGAAAGTTTATTTTAAGTAGTAACATTTTAATAGTAGTATTTTGAACAGACCAGCGGCAGCAGCAGACCTGTTGGACTGGTATGTTCCTCACTGTTTGGAGTCAGGAGGACATGGGGAGTGTCTCGTGGTGCAACAGGGACACTGATCAGTTTGGCCTTTTGTGAAGGAATGTGTTGGGTGCGGGGGGCTCAATGAATAGCTCCATGACCTCGACTTTGACCTGCCCTCTCTGTCATCCAGAGCCTGTGCTGTCTGAACTTTCCCTGACACCCTCTGGCTGTTACTTTTTTCTGTTTGTTTATGTTCAGCCTAAAACATCTGATCGGGGTTGTTTTGTTCACTTAGTGCTAGAATGTTATTGTCCTGCAGGTTTTAGATGTTTCCTCACTTGTGTACAGCTGATTTCCTTTAGTGGCTCATTAACAACTTCAATCAGGTTTGTTAAAGCAGGGGATCATCTAAAATGTGCACAAAACCAATTCCTTAAAGGCTGACTTTTTAATGTAAATGCTTTACAATTTTCCAGACAACCTTCTAGTTTTCTATATTGTTTACAGTAATTAAAATATCTGTATATGATTATGGACAGCAGTTACAAATGGAACCTAGAGGAAAGTAGAGAGTGTAAGGAATTACCTAAGGAAGGAATGGGGGGGAGGCGTTAAGAAAGGAAGAAGGAAATTAATACTAAGGAGAGAAAATAGGGACACACATTGAGGAATGAGCAACAGAACGAAGTAGTTTTAAGCAGAAGAAGAGGCAATGGAATGAAGGGGGGTGCATGTGTGATGGAGGAAAGAAGGAGCGAAACAAAAGAAACAAGACAAGGATATGAGACATAATAGTGGATGAAAACTAAAGGAAAAACCAGAAAAGAAACAGAGGCAGGACAATAACACTAAAGAATAGGAACAGATAGAGGAAAAAAGAACTGTTAGCAGGAAGCAAATAAGATAAGATACATAAAAAGAAAGGAAGGAAGTAGATAAGGATGGAAAGAAGGAGGTTATACATGTCTCTGGAAGGGCAGGCACACCACATGCTGTATAGAGGCCACGTTCCATGACGCAGATGTCTCTGGTTCGATTCCCAACCGCAGATGATTTACTGCATGTCTTCCTCAAAGGAACAAGGGAAAAAAACGAGCTTAGAACGAAAGGAGGGCAAGAAATTGGAGAATAAGAGTAAAGGAATTAGACTGGGAATGAAGAAAGGATGGAAACAATGAAGCAAATTATAGAAAAAATGGAATGACACATTGCAGAAAGGGTGGACTTGAAGACGGATGCAGAGAGAAATCCTTTAGAATCACCAAGAACAGCAATAATTATTCCAATTTTTTTTATCTTCCTTTTTCCATTGTGTTCAAAACCTGGAAAATACAGAATCAAAACTCATCATTTCCAGACTGAACAGGAACCTTATGGCCAGTACCACAGTTCTGCCAACAGAACCTTATTGCCACCAAAATAGCCACATGTCCTCACAGACAAGGTCACATGATGCTGCTATTATCTTTAGAAAGCCACTGGGCTGGGACCTCTGTGCATGTGCTACTATGTGTGCATGTGTTTAGGCTTATTTCCTTTCATTCATTACCTGTACTTTCCTCAAACAAATATAACAAGCTGGCACAGGCTCTTTCTGAGCTCGCTGGTGTATCAGATAAGCGATTAATTCCTGGAATACCAGATAAACCAGTTCTTCAAGCTGTTGTTTTCTCGAAAACTTCTTAAGTCACTTTCTTGAATATGTGGAAAGTTTATAACTGAACTATGTAATACTTCTCATAAGGTCCTAAAACTTGCTAAATTTTATCTAATGTTAACAAAAAAAAATAAAAAAAACATTTAGTGTGAAGAACTACCGGTATTATATAGCAGAAGCTCTTGCAGTTCCCCAAGGCCTGTACCACGAATCGAGCTCAATCTAGCGGGATTACTTCCGGTCTATCCAGTTTAACCAATCCACAAAAAGCGGTACCATGAAGCTTACTCAATCTGGCTTTGACTGAGCATGAACCTGCGGACGTGCACATATAAAGGGGCTAGTTGAAGCAGACCAGCCACAATCATGAGCCAGACGGGAGAGCGCCAATATCTCCTGTGAAGAACAAAATTGATCTTACGGAAATACGAAGAGGAAAAGAAGTCTCAATGAAAAGTCAAACACGGTGGTGGCATGAAAGAGACAGCAAATGTAGTGGCAAAGGATTGCTGGCTGAGTTAATGAGCAAGTTATAGATCAGTGTCTTCTAACACAGAGAAGAGTACGGAAGCCAAGAGCGAGATAACGACATTACTATCTCGTTATCATGGTTAAACCATTCATTATGTTCTCGAGATAACAAAATAATTATCTCGTTATCATGTGAAAACAGTTATTGATTTCTTGAGCGAATGAGGTGATTAACCTGTATGAGTAATGAATTAGGCTGACCAACAGCCCTGGATTCCCAGTCCATCCATGCCTGTGGTGCCCGTAATTGTGCAGTCACTGTACCACATTTGCGCAAATAATCTGTTTTACAGTTTCCTATTTTTTTTTCCACTCATTGTCAGGTTGTGGTGGATGACTGGATTGCAACGAATACAGTATAAACAAATCGGACTGTTTATTAATGAAAATCTTTAATCTCGACTAATTTTTGGGGTTAATCTGCATGGCTGTGTGTTTCCTGTACAGGGCTGCTGTGAAGCTGGTTTACAGTTGCTTTTTGTATCTCTGCTTCTTTCTGTATCTCTGCATCTGTCTCCTTGAACCTCAGTCGGCATCAGCAG